GCATTCATAAATATATTGAACAAGGTTGGCCCTTGAACCGAACCTTGTGGGACTCCAGCGGGAATTTTACATGGTGGCGAGACAATTTCATTGGAGGTTACACTGAACCTTTTTTGTATATAGCTATGTATTACTCTAACAATCTAGCTTGGGAATTTGTCGTTTATAAACCTATAGACAATACCTTTGTGCCATGAAATGGTGAAATTTTTATAAGTATATGAACTTTTCCATTCATTCAGCTCATGCAATACTTTTTTATTTTAACTTTTTAGATTAAATGTCTTCTATTAGTTACAAGATGTATTGTAAGTTCTCTGACGTTTTGATGGGGATTTTCTTCTTCAGCTTCCTAATGAAATGATGGTCTTATAGATTGGATTTCATACATAGCATTTGAAGAAAACTTTTCGAAACACGACGAAAATATTTCTTTCATTAGAACAGTCTTTGCCCAAAACCCGTCTGTTATTCCGTTCAGCGTAGGCAGCAAAATGACCGAGTTTGAACTCATAAAAAATGTATTCGAAAATCGCGTGTTACTATTGTCACGTTTCAAATGTAACTAAAAATGAGAACGTCTACTTTGAAAGAAAACATTGCCATTAAATGGAAAATAATCAAGTGTTTATTGCTGACTGTAAATATTTTGTTTATTACTAGCAGTAATTTTTTAACGCTATTTAATATTGTATTAATCTATGTGTGTAGTTCGTAATCATTATTGACCTATTACTTTTTTTAAATTATATATTTAATTTAATTATTTTTATGTAAGATCTTGGTTGAGATGAAAAAACTAGTGTTACGAGCAGGATTCGAACGTATAGCGTATTTACCTGAGAAAAAAGTATAATTAATTAAAACGTATTTAATATTTTTTTGTCAACAAAAACATTTCAATAAAGGATAAATTGCGACTAATATCTTCATTTTTTCACAGCACGGTTTGAGCAGACTAAGCATTGTGAATGCCAAGTTTTAATTATTTTAAACGGCGCTCGTTAAAGGTCCGGGTTCGAATACTGCGGCCCTGCATTCGAACCCGACATACTTACAAATGTTTTTTTTTTACACCAGTCAGCATCTATGTTGAAAAGTCAGCATCATTTTTATTTTTCATATAAACACCGGCACCCTGAGGGTTTATGTGAAAAAATTACGTTACGATACGATTTTATATAAGACGTGTATATTAAAAAAAACAACTAAATGATTGTTATTGTTTCCATGTGTTTAACTAGTCTGACCACCAAGTGAATGAACAACATAAGAAAGAAAATAGAGATACTTTTAGGAATTCCTCAAAAATTTTGATGGAAAAGTCATTGCATGAGCCACAATTTTGTATTAAAAAAAAGGTTTAGTTTGTTATTCTTTGGATGCTACTGTGTTCAGCACGAATTTTTCAACTGAATTGTTGTTATCTTGTTGAAAATTTAATGTAGTTTGAGAAATAAAGGTCAAACTTGTATCTTAATTACGCGAAAGTTGAGAAATTACGATTTTACGTAATATAAAAGATAAAAAAGGATTTTAAACTAAAATCACAAAAATGTTAATATCTCTGGAAAGAGTCAAGGTGGAAACCTCGTTCTGGTGGTTCTGGTTATATTTAGTGAATCCACCATATGTCCCCCATAACTTCCTAGACTTTGGTCCGACTTTTATAAACCCTTTTTCAAATTTACGCTTTGAAGCCCAGTTTTTGATGTTTCCTGAAATAAATTTTGATTCGTTGTTTTGCCATTTAAAATATGACCTACGTCACCTATTTTACAAGGAGATTCCTAACTTTTTATATCGGATTTCCAAACTAGGCTATTTTTGAAAAAAATTCTCGTTGGTTCAAGTTCGATAACTTTATCTTTTATACAAGTTACCGAAATGAGAGTTTTAATTTTAAGTCGTTACTATAAACACTACCCTAGAAAAATTATTTAGCAAAGAAAACTTATTGTAAAGAAAAAGTGGAATGAAAAACTTATGGATGTGGATAAAAGAAAGGAATAAACTCAATTATTCTTGTTATTTTCGATGCGCTTTAATCTTTTGTTATAGACATTAATTATACCTAATATCCGTACAAAGGATAATAAATGATTTCAATTATTATTGCGAAATAACGTGAAAAACTTGAACAAAAGGATCTTCAATGAGGTCACAACAGAAACGACAATTCTGTAAGTTTTTGCCAAGCTTTCGACGATTATATCGTCATAATCAGGGCTTTAACTCGATGAGGGTTGAAATATATCTGGAGAGCAAGAAACTGCATTTATAATAAGATTAATTAAAATTAGGTGAAGCTCAGTATCTCGGTTACACATAACTATAAGTACACGTCTCTTTTTCTTAAAATAATCACTTGTAACAGAAAAGCCACCTGAGCCTCATGTCTCTCCCTTGTGGTAGAACTTAGCACTTTTATTTTTGAGTTATCTATATATAGTACAAATTATAAAAGCTTAACTAATCTTACCTGTGATATTCTAATGTACCTGAGGAAAAAAGTAATTTTATTAAGAGAAAAAAAGAGGCATGTACTTATATTTATATCTAACCGAGATACTGAGCTTCACCTAATTTTAATTAATCTGATTATAAATGCAGTTTCTTGCTCTCCAGATATATTTCAACAATCATCGAGTTAAAGCCCTGATGATGACGATATAATCGTCGAAATCTCGGCAAAAATTTAAAGAATTGTCGTTTCTATTGTGACCTCACTAAAGATCCTTTTGTTCAAGTTGTTCAACAAGCAGGTCGATACATCATCTCATCTTTAACGTGAAAAACGTTGAGGTACATTTAACTTCTGTGAGAGGTGAGAATTACCACTACAATTCGGAATATTCCGATAGATGTAATTAAGACAGTAACGCCTATGGAATTTTTTAAAATTTATTACAATCTGTAATTGTTAATAGAGTAGAGGAGTGAATAAAAGAGAGGAGAGGGTGCGTCGAGACGGATATCCCTACGGCCTGGCCGGATCAAAGAAAATCATCAATTCCTTGATCAACGAAGGCGATCGCGGACCCACTCAACTTCAGAGAAGGTGCTCCATATTCCTAGAAGCGGGGATTTTCAATCGCCGGGAAAAGAAGCATATCTGGACACTAGTTCCCAGGAAAGTTTAGTTTTTAAGGAATGTTTATTTAGATTTTATGATAATGTAGGTTCATTTAGTGTGTAAGTTTGTTAAAATGTTACCCGTAGAGAATTAAGAATAATCTATGTTTAATATTTTAGTTTCCATTGGAATAAATTTGTTTTTTGTTTCCTTATATAAATATTGTGTTCTTTTTTTTTTTTGTTAATTTTCTGTTATTGAATTTTCTTTGTTTTATTTTATTTTCTTTTTTTTCTTTACGGTTCGCTGTTTCCGAGTATATAAACAGCGTGGCGCCCATTTAAAAAAAAAATTAATATTAAGTTCATTATTCTTAATTTATTAAGTAACCGCGCCCGTCTCCACGGAGCGAAGCCGGCAAATTCTCGGCGTAAGATTTTGGCGCCCAACGTGGGGCCCGATGATTATTGGTACATTGTTATTGTCATTTGAAGATACGGAATGTACAACCGTATAAAATTTAATCATTTATAGTGTGTCAGTGGTGAGGAGCCTTTTAGGATTACCGAGAACATTCTGGACTGTTCAGATGCCAGGATGATATAACTGAGCCGTTAACAGCTGTTTTGATTTTTGTAAATGTAATTTGCGGATACATGAACTTATATATAACTATTTATATGGAGGGGAGCAAATAATCAATGTTATCCTCCTTCTTCACTTTGTTTATGTTGTTTTACTATTTACTCAGAAAGGAAGTTGCGGGGCTATTTCCTCTTGAGACGCATTTTGGTTTGTAGGGATGGGTCCTATTGGATAGGGCTTGGGCAAGACTATTTGGATGGTTTTTTGTGGAACTTGGTAAATTTTTGGGAAAGGAATTTTTTGATATCATGAATTTGAAGGTCGTTGAGGAGTGTAGCATTTGAGACATAATAAGGAGAAATGGATCTGAGGACTTTAGATTGAAAGAATTGGAGATGTTGAATATTGGAAGGTTTAGCGGTTCCCCACAATTTTATTCCGTATGTCCAAATCGGGTGTAGTAGTGTTTTGTAAATTGTGAGTTTATTTTTGGACGATAGTTTAGATTGTCGTCCTATAAGTGTGTGCAGTAGACCATACCGTCTGTTTAGGTTTTGTCGTGTCTATTGAAATTAAACGATACGAAAGATGAATTGAACACAAAGAAAAACGATTCGAACATTTTACTTTAACAGTGGCAGTCTATTCTTCCTACTTCTTCTTTTCATTCTTTCTTTTATCCACATACATTTTATTTTCGCTAAATAAAACACTCAAGTTTCCTGGAGAAGTGTTTATTGTAACTGGTCAACGTACAAGTGTGAATACCTAGTAAAACTGGCATTAAAGTAATTTCTATCAAAATTAAGATATAGAACCGATAGATTGAAGAACATCATCATTCATATTACCACATTCCAATGGTGAGGTATGTATTATGGTTTTAATATATTAAATAAAATTTGTGTTTGATTTATTGACATTTTTACTCAAAATTTAATCATCCTTAGATTTGAAATTTGGTGTTGAAAAATCGATTTGTTTGCAGTTAAAGATACCCCGTCTACTCAACAATACTGCTAAATAATTATATCCTCTAATCTTATTTGAATTTTTCATTTATTCCCTATTGCGTGTTATCAGTCATGAAGGTTTTTATATTCAATAAATAGTTTCAAAAAAATTAAAACAAAATAAGATTATCCGCCTTTACTCGGTTTTTTATATATCAAATGCTTTTCATGGCTATAGTTTTTGACCCAAAATGATTTTGTTTTTTAATATTTCGCCAATGACACTGTGCTAACGAACTGTCCTGATAGATGATAGAGACATGTATATTCATTCTGTATGAAAATATGGCTGTTCATAAGTGGAATGTGAACAAAAAGCAACTCACCATTAGGTTCTTTCTCATAATTGCCAATGCTTTAATATACTTAGTCGTTCCCTTGAAACGGGCAGATTTCATCGCCGATCACTCTATTGTCGAAGGCGGATAGAAATCTGAAGATCGGTCTGTAAACTGTAGTGTGTCTGCAAGCTGCCGGCCTGTCGATGAGGACTGTACTGACACCGAGCCGATCCGGCACGGAACGAGATCCGAGAGAAAGCCGCCTCCCGTCTGTCAATCGGCCCGCAATAAATCCAATCGATTTTCCCATCGGAATCCCACTTCGGCCCGATACAAATCGCACTTTACTTTCATCGGCTTTTATCTCTGACGGATCAGAATCGCACATGTGTGCCGATATCCGGTTGGACACAGGTCACCTTTTACCTCTGAAACTCGATGTGGAATTTTTGTAATCAGATCCTCCTAAAAATAGTAGAAGTGAGCCCGCAAACTACTTTATCGTAAGATTTCTACATTTAGCCTATTCACGATCACACAGGTATGTTGATAATATAATATAAATATGTCTGTTAATTGTTAATATAAATATAATAAACAATTCAATTCACTAGTTTCGTGGTCCGCTTGACCAAGTAATATCTTACAATTAATTAAGGTTTTTAGTTGAGATAAAAAAGTTAATGGCACGAGCGGGAAAAAATGGCAAAAAGGAGGGAAAATTCAAAAGGTGTGGTTGAGATGGGAAGTTAGTGTCCGAGTGGAGTCACGATAGCTCAAGTGGTAGAGCAGCGGCGTATCTAGCCGAAGATCGTGGGTTCGAATCCCGCTCGTGCCATTAACTTTTTTATCTCAACTAAAAACCTTAATTAATTGTATAATAAACAATCCAAAAGTTGTTTTTGTAGAATTACATAAAAACATTTCCAATGATTGAAGAAAATATAAAATGTATTTTGCCATTTTCTGTACAGAAACAAAAGCACAATACTTGGGCAGATCGGACGGAAAATGGAAGAAAGATACAATTCAGATATAAAATCATTAAAAACATAAATCAATGATGGTAAGACCTTTACCTACATACGGAGCCGTAGCCTGGGCCGATAAAGCAGAACTAATCTAAAAGAAAAGAACTCACAAAAATACATAGACTTGCGTACAACTGTACAACGGGAGCAATGAGAACATGTCCCACAGTTGGTACGGAAAAAATATTGGAATTAATCCCCCTACACTACATGGTAATGAGGACATCATAGAAAACTATTATTAATATCATTGAAAAGAAACCTCCTACAGGAATAAAAGTAAAATGGAGAAACAGCAACAAAATAATTAAGGACCATGACACTCCAGGATGCCCATAATAAACAACCTAATAGAAATAGACATACAGAAAACCCACAACTGCAGACACAGTTACCAGCGGATAAGAATACCAGCGGATTCTTCCCACCCATGGTCCCAGAAGGCTGCTGGTTTCATTTGGCTCATAGACCGGATGTTAAAACTTCCACTAACACCTGATAACTATAAAAAAGAATTAGAAACTATTAAAACCTTAGCAAAAAACAACGGGTATCAAGAAATATTTATTGATAAGTTGCTAGTTAAAAGAATAAAAAAATTAACTTTAAACAAATCAACTATAGGATTCAGCCACCCCACCACAGATGAATCATTAGGTTTCCGTTGTTTGCCATACATTGGTGAATTATCAGAAAAAGTTAGTAAAATTTTTAAACAAGAAGGTTTTAGAATAGCTTTTAGAATACGGGTTCAATTAAAAACATCCTCTCAAAACCTAAAGACAAAGTAGACAACTTGGCAAAAAGCGGGGTTTACCAACTCAATTGTAATGATTGTGATATTAAATATATAGGACAAAGCGGTAGAGAAATAAAAACAAGAGTAAAAGAACACTTGCCTAAATCGAGCAAATTTTCGGAATTTAAGGACCATCTAAAAGAAACAAAACATAATTTCAATTCAAATTTAAATACAAGAGTGTTACATAGTTTCAACAAAGGGAAAGAACTAGATTGGTTTGAGAAATTTGAAATTAAAAAATGTAAAATTGAACATGGTGATAAATGCATTAATAATATAACAGATTTTGATCTACCTCCCATTTTAAATATGTACATAAATAATATCAAACATCCAAATAATTAAACTAATTATTTTAATTGTTATTATTTTTATAGTAATTTAATAATATTAAGTATTTACTAGTATAATATTTATTTGTGTTATAATTTCCGCGTTTCGCACGTTCAAATTGAGCGCCATTAAAAAAATCAGCTGCTAATTGGAACGTCGCGTTGGCGGAGGTATCAGGGGTTCACTTTGGCAATTCATGTCGAGAGACGTGGTGGTAGAAGTCCTTCAACCTGATGATGAGCTAAAAGGCTCGAAATCCGGATCGTTGCAAAACAACTTACTGTGAGTAGGAACTATCTTTTTAAAAAGGATGTTTGAATTCAATCAAAACATCCAAATAAACCTAAATACCAAAAACGAATGGAAACGAGAGGGAAACACCTTTAAGAATGGCACCATCTTTTGGTACACAAACGGGTCTAGAACACAAGAAGGTACAGGGTTAGGAATATTCGGTCTTGGAACCAAATACTCAGAACCCATGGGAAAATACACCTGCGGAGATTCTTGCAATCGAAAGATGTACCCAAACTCAACATAAGTAAAGGGTACAAAAACAAGAATATAGCTATCATGTCAGATTGCTAAGCAGCCATCAAAGCACTAAGCTCAAATATCATTAGTTCAAGGAAGGTGCTGAACTGCAAAACCAAACTAAACATAATAGGTACGCAGAGTAAAATAAGCCTCTGCTAGATCCCAGGACACACGGGAGTAGAAGGCAACGAGAAAGCGAACTCGCTTGCAACAAAATGGGTTGCTACACCACTCATAGGACCTGAACCCTTCCGTGGCATAGGAACCCACACTGTTAACGCGTATCTCAGACATAACGATAAAAAGAAAATAAAGGATCTTTGAAATTCACTCATTGGACACAGACAATCCAAGAATCTTCTAAGAAATTTCGGAAGAAAAGAAATTACGGAATGTGCCAAGGGAAGCGGGAATAACCTGCGAATCCTAATAGGATTCCTAACAGGACACTGCAAGTTAAACGGACACTTAAAGAAGATTGTAATAATCCAAAATGGCACATGCAGTTTCTGCAAAGAGGCGGAAGAGACACCAACACATCTACTAACAAACTGCGGAGCTACACAATCCCGCAGGAGGAGACCATAGAAGAGCTTCAACCACTGAAACTGGGCCTATTAATCAAGTTTCTTGATGAAATAGGACTCACCTATGTGACTTTAAGGATACAATAGCTCTTAAAGGGCGCAGTATACTACACCCCGGAACTATATCTACATGTACATCAACAAACCTTCTTTATCTTCCAACCTGAGATCCGTGTAATTGAGAGATGAACTCAATTCAACTTGAACCCGGGACTTTTATCTTTCAGTGACACCTTAACCATTGCGGGCACCGACGCTATTCTTTACATTGAGTTAAATTTTATTTTGTCAAGATTTTTGCAACAATTATAATTTTTAATAAATATGCCGGATTTTATAATGAATAATTCAAATTTTTAAAAAATTAACCATTTTTGAAAAATATTGACGAACGGTTCCTACAGCAATAAATTAAACATTAGATAAGCCAGATTAGCAAATCTCAAATTAATCCCCTAGGTCACATCACAGAATTGAAATAATTTGAGATTTATGAATCACGGAAATAAAAATAAAAAATCTTCGTAAATATCGATCAATTAGTAAGTAAGGTAATTAGTTATAAACTAAGGTGGAAAGATGCCAAGGCCTCCTATTAAAATGTAGTCATAGAACTGGTTATCAGAGGACAGGAACAATATATTTTTCCACAGTTTTGAATCCAATTAACCAGTGAGACTTATTTTACACCACCTTTCGAGAAAAGCCGGCCGGATAAGCTTTTATCCCACAATGAAATTAAATGGGAAGTTTTTATACTGGGTTATTTCCCCTTCAATATCGGTCAGTATAGGAAGGAATTTTTTTTTCAATTAATCTATTGCTCTTCGTATTGTTGCAGCTTCAAAGATGCCATAGGGATTTTCACTTTCTATTAGATTGAGGAAGAATAATTATTTAGTTATATGTATGTTCAATGATAATGTGTTTAATTTTAATAGTTTATTATTGACCGATTTAATTATAACATTCACATATAAATTTCAATATTATTGAATAATTCATTAGTTTTCGTGGTCCGCTTGACCAATTAATATCTTTCAACTAACTCAGGTTTTTAGTTGAGATGAAAAATGGCAAAAAGGAGGGAAAATTCAAAAGGTGGGGTTGAGGTGGGAAGTTAGTGTCCGAGTGGATCGAAGAAGATAGCTCAAGTGGTTGAGTAGCGACGTATCTAGCTGATGGTCGTGGGTTCGAATCTCGCTCGTGACACTGACTTTTTATCTCAAGCAAAACTATAATTAAAGATTAATTAATTGACAAGAATTTATTTGATCAATCGCACCACGAAACCTAATAGATTGTAGATATTGGTTAAATAGCAATGGATAAGTAAGCTAATTTGAAAAACAAACGATTCCGAAACCAAACAGCAAAGATACAAAAATGAAACTTAAATCAACCACATCATTTACTTATAAACATAAAACCAAATTAATTATTCCTTTTATCTAAGGTTTTTGGTCGAGATGAAAAACCTTAGATAAAAAAATAATTAATTGGAGCAATTAATATGGTCAATTATGACCACTAAACAAATATGGATTTTTTTATCTCAACTAAAAACCTTAATTAATTGAAAAATTATTGAATAGACCTTCATGTTTATCAACCTTTTAAATTATTAATAATTTTTCCAAAAGCCTGATGAAGAATTATTCGAAACTCGACGAGAAACTGTATGTTTTTTCAATTTGGTCATAAGACAGATTTTATTGTAAAATTACTAATTACCGATATATAAAGCTCAAATCCGCACATGCATAAACAAGCAGACAAATGTACAGAGTTGAGCCTATCACTTCTCGCAGCTCGCAGGTAATTCCAACTTTTGTTTAATTTACATCGCCGGCGGGCCACAGAAGTTAGGCTCCAGGGGCTATCAAGAGCTAGGTCATTCGGGCCTC